ATGGTTACCAAATACAATAGTGATTTTCAAAAAAGGTTATTTGAATGTTCTTTTTACTGAATTAGTTCACTCATCCAATTTTAGCTTTTATTATCAACTTTGAAAGATTGCATATTCCTGCTCTCTTTGATTCTGGTTCTAGGGAATTCTTGGACCGGTATCTGCTGATGGCAAAGAATTATGGGGTTGGTCTATGCTGCCCATATGTTTGGCTTCCGGTGGCTTTTGGAGTTGTAATCGTTCGCTGTCTCACGATATTCAAAGGTAAATAGCCATGTATTCTATGAACGATAAGGTCACAAACGAACTTTCCAGAGCTCACTTTCACTATTCAATGATCCAGTCAATTTGGAAAAACAAATATTATAGTACCTGTCTTTTTTACAAGTATTATTTTCTCTTTCTAAACGGAAGTTATGAATAAGTCGTTGATCAATCAGGAAAACAGTAGCACTTAGACTGATTTGTGATGTAATGGCTTTCGAGTGTCCACGACCATGCGAACAACACAGGATGACTTCTCACAGTTGTAAGTTGAATCATGTCTGAAAGGTCAATCGGTAGAGGTCAGAATATATTACCATCGACTTGTAGACAACCATGGTGCCAACGCAACAACGATAATTTCAATAACAACGAACAAAATTGTCTCAGCCTCACAAGTCTAGTTGATTTGGCACCTGCTGGTGTTCTCTAACTACGCACTCTTGCAACTGCAGAAGTCACTGCAGCCAATAATCACGGGAAGGATCAGTGTATTGGTCAAAACCCCCACTATATGAACGTAGGAGCGGGGTATCTGGGACTTCCTCCCGACGGTGGGAGAAGTCTTCGCACGTCTTTGGACAGCTACCACCTGTCCAGGCTAGGCAGCCCTCAGCAAATATGATGCTATCCCGACCACACTCCATCTGTCTCATGGTGCATGAAACTCAAGGCCGGTCTCGAACATAAGACCCACAATCAACCAACCGGCGAACAATATTCTGAACCGAAACCCGAAGGCCATACATAATAGGTCTCCAGAACCCCCTAAACGGATTCATCGGTCACGCATTTCACGTTGGATCTACGCCCCATTGCCTTGTGGTTCAGACTTTTGAGTCGAAGGCTTCAGTCAGTGTTCGCAAATAAAAAACTTCTTCAGTATGGGATACCACGAGGAATATCTTACCCTAAGGTCCCAGTTATCCGTTTGGGGAAACCTGTTTCTCGTTTGTCTAGTTCTTTCTTTCACTCCCAAATCGTATAGCGTAACTCCTGTTCACTAGTAAGGTCAACCAATCAGAATCTATAACATTGATAAAACCAAAATATCCTTTTCACTTGGCTGCATGCAATTTCCGCACACTCTGTCAGATCGACCAACAAGCTGTCTTAGCTCAAACAACGAAAATTTGGAATTCCCTTGTACGCCCTATCTCTGAAAAATACGTACAAGACCCCAGTTCAATCATCCCTCTCTATTCTTCAGATCAACCCCATCTTCACGCTTCACTCTCCGTATGTAAGGTGAATCGGCATCCAAAGCTCGCGCTGTTGCTGCTGTTGGGATTTCGCTAAGTGCCAAGGTTGAGCTCTCGGTCCTCGACTGATTTCCAGTCAGTAGCCGTCTGTGCGCAGTGCGTCTCGACGGCTCAGTACGCGTTGATAGCTGTAGATCGAAGCATCGACGCCTACAAATCATGCCAGTTTATATACCGATCAACTACAACGATCCTAAAATCAACGATGAATTCTAGAATAATCTTTCTCAAAGGCTCCAAAGTTCTCGATCAACCTACATCGTAGTAGTCGTTGAAGACTTCAGTGCTTAAGTGGGTGGTTAAGTGATTAAAGTCATCAATTTGATGACCCGAAAGTCCCGGATTCGAACCGCTGCATCGCTTCCCATCCTTCCTATTTCTGTATTTTCCCAGGCAACCCTTACATGGCCGCAGCCCCTTCCTGAAAGCTAACTGTACATTTGTATATTCGAAAATAAAAAGGAAGTAAAAAGACACGTTTGAACTAATCTCAACGGTGCCTAGCTGACCCGTATGCAATCCTAGTCGACTAGACGTACAGCGGAGTTCGCCTATTCCAAATCTGCGCCGACCACGGATTGTTTCCACTAGAAAAGACATCACCTCACATGGGAACCCTTGTGATCATCGACCCAACACCGAAGGACTCAGTGAATATTGGACGGTAAGCAAGCAAACTATTCAAAGTAGATCGAAACAATGGTGGGTTCTGCCTTGAAGGACGCCCGCGGAACCATTCCTGCTGATGTCACATATGACTTAGAGCAAATGCTTTGAACGCAGGCTGAGCAGGAGTTTGAGGAATGACCGCGATAAATAGTGGATAGCAAAATGGAGTTGTAAAATTAGCATCTATCGGTAATAATTGCAATATTTTCCGTCCAATTGAGTATACGTCCCCACGGAAATTAGGAATAAGTGAGATAATTAAGGAGTCTGATGGGGCATTGATTCATATTCAGAAACGCCGTCTTAAACGACGTGCTGAACATTTCTAGGCTCAGTTCAACTGTTCCACATCGATATTAAACCTGTCATCCTCCACCTCAACTGGGCAACCACTGCCAGTCGATATCAGTCCTTCATATGTAAAAGGTTCCCTGTATAACAAGATATCTGAAAAGGTGTCAGACTTCCACCCTAGATGAGTTTTTCCCATCAGTTTTTGAAAATTGATGCTCACCCTTGGTTTTGGAGTTTACGATCTAACTCTAGCTGAAGAAATAATACCGGCGGTGGACAAATTTTGCTACTTGGGTGGCGATATTCCACTTGGTGGACGCATCACAGATAAAGTGTCTGGATGCATACAGAAAGCCTAATTGGCATTGGCCAACTTGATACACTTGCGACACCGTCACAACATCCGGCTGTCTGTGAACAACCAAGTGTATGCTGCAGCAGTTTGGCCATTTCTAAGAAGCAGTAGGTAATTGAGGTCTCCTACTGGAGGAAGCAGTCGACCGCCATAGACTGCGTTGGTTGGGGCATGAGTTGCGCATGTCAACAAATATAACACCCTGGCGCGTGATTTTCACCGAGGTAGGTGATGATTGGGGAAAGTCAAGTGCAGTCGCTTGATGACCCAACATGGGAGTATGAAAACGTTGAGCAAGAGACTTGCTCATATAGGTCGCTTTAGACTTCCTGGATGGGGGATTTGAGCTAACCAAAACCGACACACGAAAGTGCATGCTCAAGGGTTGTCAAAACTGAAATCGGGTTCAGTGCTTTACACTCTTTACTACAAAAATCCTCCTGATTATTTCTGGTTTTATTCTTTGTGGACTCGTCCATAAAACTGAAGTCTGTATTACAGTAAATGTGAATCCTAACTTTGAGATAGACGCTTTTTGACCGTTTTACCGATTTTTTTACGGAGCTGGTGATCTAATGCTTGTCCATACAACATAATTGTCTGCTTGTGTATGCAAACGTTTTTCATCCAGAGTAACGGGGTAAATCACTAAAGAAGCATGATTAGAGCTCTATCTTTTCAACGTTGATGCTGGGGACATTTAAGTTGCAACTTTTCCACATGATTTGTGATGGTTTGACGGTAGTGCTGTTGTGGCTGACACGAAATAGTTAGCAAGGTCACAGCACCTCTGGATCAATGACCATTAATACACGCAAGCCCATATTCTTGGAATTAAGAAAAATTCAGGAAGATCCATAAACCTCGGCGTTGTGTTTGGTCAATGGATCTTTGTCTATGTGTTGGGGATAGGGAGATCATGCAAGCTCCGCATTATTCAGTCGGAATGAAGAAACACAGTATCAACTATGTTGAGCGTATTCTAAAGAGTAGATATATATTTCACACACGTCTAAAGCCAAACTGTGTGCCAAACAAATCATGGTACACTATTCTTTATGAAAAAGAAAGACGTTCCACGATTTGCATGAGGGCTGAATATTGCCAAGTTTCCCAGGCCAAGGCAGGTGAATTTCTTTGGGAAGTACACAACTGGAGCCTTCGGCTAGCCAAAGACTAACCCGCAGGGCAGCGGGGTGGTGCGTGAAAACCGCAATCCATTGGGAGCCGGTGCGCAGTTCATCGGATCATAGGCCCTTCGAACGGGGTCAAACGTCCAAGGTGTCCAATACACCTCAATACCAATATATATATATATATATATATATATATATATATCACAGAATGTGAACACATGCAGTGCCCGCCCAACACCAATAACTGAGAGCGAGGATTAGGATACAAATCAGAGTGAAATGAGCTGTATGTGAGTTCAGGGGAAGAGGTATACCGGGAACCTGCATGATCGTAAGATGATATAAGCAGAAGTTGGAAATGGATGCATTTCGGGTCGGAGAACGAAGTAGAGCAGAATAAAACCACACCAGCAAAGGTCTGATCTGATCAGCCAGGCGCATGGTCTGGGAGACCGAAGGCAGTGATAACACAAGTCTAAAATACTCTCTCGCTGACTTTATGTGTGCGCTGTTTCTATTCTTTCTGGTGTTTTTTCTAAAATTAAATTTATCTGTAACTCATTAGATATTTGTACTTATTTTTGAAAACCTTTCATTCCAGCATGATTTCAGCTGATCCTGAATTTTCACGATTTGAACGACAAGAAACGTTATTTTGGCCCATTGAAGGTTCCGTCTTCGCTGCCGTACTGAACATCACTAGTCCTTCAGATGTTGCCGACACTTTTGTGCTACCGGTTAATTTCACTCGCGTAAGTTCTGCTCAAACTTTTGTTATTCTTACCTTTCAGTCTTGATCATTTTATCTCCATGACTTGATGGGCAAGGCGCGCAAAACGTTGACGCAATCTAAATAACTACTTCTTCGATCTCTGCCTACTTCCCCATTCTTGGTTGAGGTTTATCTGAACTGTTCACCAATTTTTGCTCAAGTTGAAGCAGTGTCCGGGAAACTAAATACCAATGGTTATCGAAATGAAATGGAGTGTTTATTCTGTTCTTATACAAGTGATTCATAAATGGAATGTTTGAACTAACTTTATGCAACTCTGCTCCAAATAAGGTATTATGATTAACCATGCATTTCATCTACGCTCATTATAGTCGACGTAACTGTTTCAAGCGAGTAGTTTCATTTCCTTAATAGACGGTCGGTTGCTTAGGTAACTGCACGTGCAACGAGTTGATTTGCACTTTAAATAAGCACTACTTTAAAGATATTTTGGATTAACCCCTTGGATACTAATAAATCTCATTGAATGCCTTGATTTGTATCGATCGAAGTTCAATTGAAGGGTTTTTAAGCCCCATTGATTTGGATACCGTTATTATTAATAATATTGTAAAGCCTATATTTATCTCTTTCGTATGTTTTGTGACAGAATAATATAGACAACAATGGCATTTTCCGACAAAGAAACTCAGTTATGAAACCTTAGAAAATCTCGTTTCTTTTTCTTTTTTTCCTGCAGGGCATTTTGATTGTGAATGATCAGGTCATGGGACGATATAACCAAGCTCTGGGGCCACAACTGAGGTTATATGTGCCCAAGAGTGCACTACAGGTCGGAACAAACATATTTATTATCATTGAACTGGATAGTCTATGGCTCAACGAAACAATGATTGGTGGTCCACTGAATGAGGGCGCTACCTATCCGCTTGCATTTGACGACCGGATGCACTGGCATACACAACGAAAACGGCCTATCCACTGATAAACCTTGTAAAGAACTGCTAAGCTCCATTACGAAGGTCTATTGCTGCACAGACAAATCATCACCTTTTCAGTTGTGTTGTGTTACCTCTATCACACTCTGCAGGATTGCAGTGACTGCCTACCTAGATTCACCCCGTTTTCTGTCTAATCATTAAGTGTAGTTTCGCTTACTGTAGTGTGTGCGATAGGTAATCTGCCCAGGGACCTTTCTTCCCCTTTCTCGTCTTTGAAAAAAGAAATGCTCATGTCCAGTGTCCTTTGACATCTGTATAAATGTCGACAACAATTCAGCTTGCAAATTATTTGCGAGCTACATAACGCAAACAATGTATGTACGATCAGTTTTTGATATTCTGCTGTTAAGATCCATTTAAAACGTTCACCGTAATTCTTGCTGGAATCGATGCATCTTCTGATGGATAACATAGCAGATTAAGGGTAGTTAATGGTGTATTCGAGAAGCACATTAATTTCATGGGGCTGATAAAACGACGCATCCCCTTCTTGACGAAAACTATCACTGCGTCGACTTAGTTTGTGATGAAACGTGAATTCTAAGTAGTCCTACCTAGATATCGTTCGATTACCGATAAGCGTTTAATGGTGTTAACTATTTATCTTCCAGTCATTTAGGACAGTTTTCTAATCACAATGAAATTTCGGTATCATAAGTCACTGAATGGACAGGAAACCTAGTCCAATAGTATACATCACAGAAAATGATGGCTGTAGATATTTTGTGCAATACACGTGAATGATTTATTCTACAGCAAAGGGAATTTCTGGAATTTGTTGATCTAACAGAAAAAGCAATAGTGCGGGAACAAAAAAGGGAACGCTGAGGTAATTATCAAAGTCAGATCGTCTTCCTGATAAATTAATTTTAACAAAAATGCAGTGGCGACCATGCTAATATATCAGAATAGACCATGTGATCTGGGGAATCACCAAACAGCTGCATAATTACTGTGAATCCTAATTCCAGTCGCAAGATACAATTAACCCCCAGTGACCTGAAACATAATTTTCCCTTCTTCCATTTTCAATCTTTGAATAGTCATGCACAGTGGCATTATCACGAATCACCAAAACATTATTTGCTGCCCTGTATTGTTTGAAATGCGGTTTCTCTTATAAATGCAGAAACGAAATTATGGCTTCATTTGACATATACGCGACTAATTTCCCCTTTGAAATATATATACATTTATAATCAAACTTATAGTTTATCAATTCGAAGTAATATTTTCTCAAACCAAAAATAAAATGGTGTGGATTCCCAGGACAAATTTCGAGTGCCAGTTGTCAGGTTATATACCACTGCAAGATTATCTCTGGTAACCTGAAATATTCACGATAGCAGAAGACCCTAATTGTAATGTTAGTTTCACTACTACAAGTACGATCATTAGTTAGAAATTGTTCATCATTGCCGTAGGT